GACTGTAGAGATGCGGCCTCGCCAAGTTGCCCGGGTGAGTCTCAAACCCGCGGGCTTAGGCAATCCACTCACCTCGGCCTCCCAAAGTGCTGGGATTATAGGCTGAGCCACCAAACCTGGCCCATTTCCACATTTTCAAAGTCACGACCTGTGAGACTTTTCAGGTGGCATCTGCCATTACTTAAAAAAATAATAACATACCCCAAGGAATGGGAAAGTGTTCAAATAAGACTGCGTACAGTGTGTTCACGATACCGTGCCACGGGCAGCACTCAGCCATAGTAGGGCAGGCACTTTGACATGCTCCGCCACAGAGGGGCCTGGGCCACACAACGCTCCATGGGAGAGGCCGGGCAGAAGGACCACGTGTCGTGATGCCACCCTCGTGAAACGTCAGAATAGGCAATTCCAGGGACAGGACATGGATGGGCAGTTCCCGGGGGAGTCCAGCGGCGGGGAGGCCGAGGGGGCGCTTGGAGCGAGGAGAACATTCTGAAACTTGAGAGGTGATGGCTGCACAGAGCTGTGAACGTCCTCCAGCCACCAGACGAACGTCAGGCGGTCAGCGTGCAGGCTCCCACCGGCCCGTCTCACCACAGTAAGCACAGGGCAGCAGGGACGGCAGCCTCCTCCGCCCACGGCCAGGCTGCCAGATGCCAGGTCCACTCCACCCTCAGGCGAGTTCTCATTCATCAGCTCACAGGTGAAGGGCCCAGGCCCGGCGAGGGCGGCAGGTCGGCACAGGAGAGCCGGGACCCCATGCCCAGGAGTGGTCCACACCCGTCCCCCACTACCTGCCCTCCTGCCCTGCTCCGTCGCATCCTCTTGAAAAGCTGCTTTATGCCCACGAGCCGCTGCCTGGCCTCCAGGGAGTCCTCCGCAGGAGTCCGCTCCAGGTCCATTTGCTTCAAAGACCGCTCAGCTCCGAGGCGTCTGGGGGGTTTGGGCTGGTGGAGGCCAAAGGGACCATGGCTGGGCCTGGGCCTAGAACCTCCCAGGTGGAGACTCAGGACTGGGGCCTGTGGGGCTCTGGCCTCCCAGCCTCCCTGGGACCTGTGGCCAGCCCTTCCTCAGGTGGGCTTGGGGCTCTGCCTGGGAAGGAGCTGCCCTCCACCCTGCTTCCCCTCAAACACCCTGAGGGAGAAACTGAAGCATAGTCAGACCCCACTCCCAGCCCCGCAGCCTCAGGGGCTGTGGTCCAGACCCCACCCCTCCAGGGGTCTCTGAATACTCCAGCAGCACAGCCAGGCCCCAATGGGTAGGGAGCGTCCTGGGCACAGGAAAGGGAGCGGCTGAGGCCAGGGGCAGCAGAGTCCTGCAGCTGAGTCCTGCAGCAGAGTCCTGCAGCTGAGTCCACCAGGGTGTTCTAGTGGACACCCCCTGCAGCTGACATGCACCATGTGCTCAAGATAGCCCCATGCGGCCACCCACCTTCACACAAGTGGCCTGTCACCCGCCATGTGCTCCCAGCCCAGCCTCACTGGGGGCTTGCATGGTCCTGGGTCCCTGCGTCCACCACACCTGGGAGGACAGGCTGGGAATGGGCCTCACCCCTGCTGCCCACCTACACTGCAGTCTCAGGCCTGGTTCCCCCACTGACTCCTCCCATCTCTGCCAGCCTCTGCCTCCCCAGGGAATGTGGGCCTCCCTCGCTGCCTTGGGGGCCTCCAGGGAGGTGTTGACAGAGACCCTCCCCCAGCCCAGCCTTGGGAGTGTCCCCCTCTCCCCAAGCCAAATGCCCAGTGGGCTCGCCCTGGGGGACCTTCCCTCCAGGAAGCCCTCCGGGTGTCCTCCCCAGCTCACCCTCTCGGTCTCCCAGAACAGGCTCCAGGCTGCTGGTCCAGGCCAGGGAGCCTCCCACCCCTGCGAGCAGCCCCAGTTCCTCCTACGCAGGCACGGCCACCCCCGCCTGCCAGCTTCCCGCTTAGCTGTCCCTGTGGCTGTCCAGTCTCCGCTCACCCCAGGGCGAGCTCAGCGCCGTCTGTGCCGCTTCAAATCCTCGCTGTTAAAACGTTCCGTCACTCGGGGAGAGAGCACAGGGACAGGCCACCCGCCGCGTGGCAGGTGCATCTGCTCCCAAGTTGACATTCCACGTGGGCGGCAGGCGGGTGCAGCCGAGGCGGCCAGATGGCCCAGCCGGCTCTGCTGGCTCCATCGCATCCGGGTAACCTTGGGCCCGTCCCAGTTCCCGGGCCTCTGGACTGTGCTGGGTGGCCAGAAGCAGAGGCTGTGCCAGGAGAGTGGGGCCTGGGCCCCGGGGTGGGCTGGGGGGCCCTTCCCACCGGCTCCCCCGTGAATGATGCCTGGAATGGCCAGGGGACAGGGGGCCCATTGCTGTTCTGGGGCAACTGCCCAGTATCCCAGTCCTGTGTGGGGACACAGGCCGAGGGTGGCCACAAGGAAGGTTTCCGACCCCAGACCCTCAGGCTGGGCCCTGGCTATTGGCCCTGGGTGACTCCAGATGGGGCTTGAGGGCCACCCGGGGCCACCCAGCATCCAAGGTGGCTTTCTGTGGCCTGGGTCAGCAGCACTGCAGACAGCTCTGGGCTGGCCAGAGGCCAAGTGCCTCAGGACACTGATGGGGGCTCGATGGGGGGGGTGAGGTCAGACTGGGCCCCAAACTGCCCCCCCTTTTCCTCCTAGAGGCATGCTGCCCCACCCCCTGAGGCTGCTGCCCCAGGTGGCCTTGGCCCTGCCCTCCCTGACCAGGGTGTTCTAGTGGACACCCCCTGACCTAGGGCTGGGGGGCTGCCAGCACCTGTGATCTGTGAGGCCCCGCCCACCTTGTAGACCCCACAGGTGAGGACCACTCGGTAGGGTGCGATTCAGGGTACCCTTGAGGTTGCCCATCTCTGGAGGGGATGTGGGGTTCAGGGCCTCCCAGCGCCCCCCCTGCGGGTTCCATCCCTGCTAGGCAGGAGGGCACAGGGGCCTCCCCCTACCCAGAGGCCCGGCGGATACCAGTACCCCATTTTCCCCTCAAAAATGCAATTTGGAAACAAACACATCCAAGAAGCTGGACACCGAGGCCCCGTGCAGCCCCACACCTGCCCGCCACAGCTGTGCTTCGCCTGCCAGGGGCTGGTGCCCAGAGGCCCCTGGGGCTGAGCTGAGTGGGATCGAGACTGGAGGCTGGGGAAGTGCGGCCATGTTCCAGCCTCCACTCAGGCGGTGCCCATGGCAGTCCTGGCAGCACCGATGTAGCCCACTTTCCAGATGGGGAAACTGAGGTTGGGAGGGGACTGCCTGCCCAGCACTGCAGTGCATAAGGGCAAAGCTGACCCCAATGCAGGAGCTCTTCCTGGGGCATCTCCTCCTCGAGTGTCTCTCAGCTCCAGACGGAGACCAGGACTCCAGGGCCCACCACTGACCAAGGTCAAGGGCCCAGCCCCATGCATCTGGTGGGCATTCGGCCACACCCTGGCCCTCCCTCAGCCTGAGAGATTCACAGGGCAGGATCCCATACCCCAGGGCACTGGGGTCACCGAGCTATGTTCCAGCTGGTGTCCTCCTCCTGGCCTGGGGGGTCTGAGGTCCCCGAATCTGCAGATGAAGGATGGATGCTGGCGGCTCCACACTGCTCCATCTGCCAGAGACATGAGTCCATGCAGGGTCTGGACAAAAAGGTGGAACCAGACGTTCCGCCTTGGGGAAACTGAGTCACAGAAGAGTTGGAGGATGTTCCTTAGGGCACATCAGCCCCCAGAGTCTCCTACACCCTCCCTGGAAGGACAGTGGGAGGGGACGCCCCGACGTCACAGCTTCTGTTGGGCCAAGTCCCAGGGGCTGCCCTCCCCAAAGCCCAACTTTATGAGGTACCTGCTGTGTGCTGGGCACTGTCAACACCATGGCCCTGCCATCAGGAGGTTTGTCTGGTCAGGCACTCATGGTAACCGCAGTATGCAGGGAGGGACTGGACACCAAGAGCTCAGGGCGGGCGGAGGGCACCCAGAAAGGGCATGGTTTGGTACTACGAAGTTAGGCTGGGCAAGTGTGCCCCAGAGGGGCGGGCCCTTGCTGGGTGCGGGGCATGGGTTTCCTGTTGAGAGGACTGTGGGGTGGGAGTCTCCAGGGACACCGAGGCCAGAGGGTCCAGGCAGGCAGAGGGATACAGAACTCAAAGGAGCAGGTGCCGGCGGCCTCTCGCGGCCAAGGGTGCCCTCTGCTGTCCATGTTGGGTATCGCCCCAGGGCTGGGGGCTCCCCTAATCCCGGATGGGGGGGTGACGGGGTATGTCCAGGGATGCCATGTCCCTCCAGCCTGGCCCTGGGTTGCCTTGTGGCAGCCTCCCCAGGACTTCCTGGGATCTGCCTCCTCCTCATGAGGGCAGATTTGGGCAGGTGAACTCAGACACCACCCAGAAGACAAATTCAACTCCCAGTCAAAAAGCCCACCTTCCTCAGGACAGGGGATGCCCCCAGGGGCCATGGAAGGAGGAGTGGGGAGGCCAGGGACTGGCTCTTGAGCGGAGCCAGGAGCAGGCTGGCCAGGGTATCACAGGCACTGCCTTGGGCCAGGGTCCAGGACTTCGAGGGGCTGGACCTGAGACACCTGTGGGGTATAGGACTGGTGTGGGGCTATGGGGTAGACATCAGGGTAGCACTATCTCCAGCAGCAGCCCCAAGCCCAACAGCCCAGCCCCCTGCTCCTTCCTTCCGGCTCATGGTTAAGCCCAGAGGCCGAGGGTCATGGATGATCCAGTAAAGGGGGAGGATGGCAGGGTTCCGGGACCCTCCTGGTGACTCAGACCCTGGGCTGCGGCAGGGCAGGGAGGGAGGGCTGGGCCTGCCTGGCCCTTTAAGAGGGCAGTTCTGCCTGCCTGGGTGCCCCCTCCCCCGGCCACTGGGGGGACCCCGTTGCCCAGCAACAGGAGGCCACAGTGTGTACAGTGTCACCCAGGAGACCAGGAGCTGCATCCTGCTCTGGGGCCTGGGCGGTTGGCACTACCCAGCTGACTGAGCCCGGCTGACTGTGCCTGGCTGATTCCCCCTCCTGGCACCATGGCACAGACGGACGTGCTCCTGACCAGGCAGCCGGCCCCACAGACGGTGCCGCCATGCGAGCTGCCCCCCAAGGTGTACGACGTGGCCCGCAACACCGGCACGCACACGTCCTCGGGGCTGGCCACGGCTGGTTTCCGCACAGCCAAGTACCTGGCTGATGAGTGGTTCCAGAACTGCTACGCCCGCTACCACCAGGCCTTCACCGATCGCGACAGCTCGGAGCGGCAGCGGCACGAAAGCCAGCAGCTGGCGGCTGAGACGGAGGCGTTGGCACAGCGCACACAGCAGGACTCCACACGCAGACTGGGTGCACGGCTGCAGGATGCACATGGCTGGAAGTCAGAGCTGCAGCGCCAGGTGGAGGCGCTGGATGCCGAGACTGACCTGCTGCTGGCCCAGAAGCAGCGGCTGGAGCGCGCTCTGGATGCCACAGCTGTGCCCTTCTCCATTGTCACTGACAACCTACAGAGCCGTGAGCGCCGTCAGCACCCAGACCTTGTGCGTGACCGCGTGGAGATGGAGTTGCTGAAGGTGTGGTGGCCGTGGTGGAGGGCTGGGTGCTGCCCGGGGGCCTGGGCCGAGTCTCCGGAGGCAGCCTTGCCCCTGGGTGCCGGACTTGCAGGCAGCCTGCTCTCTCTTGGGGACCCTTCCCCTCTAGCCCGCTTGGTTCTGGCAAATCCAGCCAGACCCTGAGCCCCCTGTACTGAGTCACAAGCCCCCCCACCAAGGACACCCCACTGGAAAACTGGGCCCATTGGAAAACTCAGGCTCAAGCCAGCACTACCAGCAGGGACAGGTGAGGGTGGGAGCCACGGGCACCCAATGCCCTGCACGAAACCTGCCCCAAAGATGCCCTAGGTCCCTTCCGAAGCCTGTTCAACCTGTCCTGTGCAGCCCCTATGGACGAGGGGCCACCCAGGCTGGGGCTGGCATTGGCTCCGCTGACCTCACCTCTCCTCGGGCTCCCCCTGAATGGGCTGCCAGCCAGTGAACACCTAAGAGATGGGGCAGCTGGCCCTAGGACTCAGGGAGCCCCTCACTGCACCCCTGGGCAGGCTAGAACCTTGGGCCCCTCCTTCTGCCTCCAGCATCCCCAGGCCCTCTCCCTGTACCTAACTCAGATGCCCAAGAACACCTGGGGCCTCTGTACAAACCCTCTGCCCCCAGCCCAGCCCTCATCCTGCACACCCGGTGGTGAAAATACTGACCTTGGTGTAGACATGCAGATGCGGAGCCAACCCAATGACAGGAGCTGGTCTAGGGTCAAACACGTGTCAGGGTGGAAATCCCACCCCAGGGAGAGGGATGCTCTTGCACACAGCACGTATCCTCCAGGCAGGAAGTAACACGGGTCCCGGTGGTCTTGGGGTGAGGGTGGCCTGAGTGAGAGGCCCGAGGGGCAGCCAGTGGGCACCTGCCCCCAGGGGTTGGGGGCCTCAGAGGTTGACCCCCAGAGCCCAGGTACCTTGGAAGTGCCACTGGTGCCCTCTCAGAGCCCCCTGGAAGTAAAGACCACATGTACGGGGCCCCAAGAATGTTCCAGAGCTCAGATAGACCAGAGAGAGCTGGGCCCGTGCTCCCATCCCCCAGGAGAAAAGACTGAGCGCTGCCAAGGTGGGACTTGGCCGGGGCTCCAGCCAGGGCTAGGCCCCCAGTCGCAGCTCCTCTGGGGTGTGGGGAGCTGGCGGGGCCCCAGCAGCTCGGGCCAGTGGCCCTCCCCGGGGAGGGGGCTGGGAGCGCAGGGACTTGGTGGCTCCTCCCCCAAGAGAAAAGACGGAGGACTCCTTAGGTGGGGCCTGACCAGCGGTAGGCTCCAAGGCGCAGCCTCTCTGGCCGTGGCCCCCCAAGGGAGGGAGCTGGTGGCTGTGGGCTCAGGGACCCCCTCCTCCAGGAAGCCGAACTCATCCGGAACATTCAGGAACTTCTGAAGAGGACCATCATGCAAGCCGTCACCCAGATCCGGTGTGTCCTGTGGCTCGGGGGAATCTGGGGGGGGACCCTGACCCCACCCCAGCTGGTCTTGGGGCAGGACATCCAAGGTCATAACCCTGAGCTCAGGTGGGCAGGGGCTGCCCCAGGTCACCCGGGAGGACAGGGCAGGAGAGGGGCAGGCGAGGCCCACCTCTGGGGGCTTCCAGGGCCCAGGGCCTCTGCTCTGCGGCCTCCCGGCCCTACGACTACTCCCGGCGTTGCTGACCGGCCAGGCCCACGGCCCATGGGCGTTGGAGCCTTGAGCACACACCCAGCCCAGCCTGTCCGGCCCCAGGCTGAACCGCCAGCACAAGGAGACCTGCGAGCTGGACTGGTCGGACAAGGTGGAGGCCTACGCCATCGATGAGACATGCTCGCGCTACAGCAGCCAGAGCACCGAGGTGCAGGCCCACCCGCACTCCAGCAAGCTGGAGGAAAGGTGGGCGCCCGCCCCGCCCATCCACACCCTGCCCCACGCCCGGCCCTAGCGCGCCCAGCCCCCACACGCCCTAGCCGCAGCCTGTCACGCCACGCCCCTTCCCCGCCCCCTTCCTCCACGCTGCGCTGCCCCCAGGCTTTCACCACTCCTGAGCCCCGCCCCTCTCTGTGCCCTGGCCGA